ATTATATATATATATTTTATATATATATATATATATATATATATAATGTTTTTAAGGAGCATTTCCCACCATGGAGAAAAAGGCTGGAAGCGAAGATCAAGACAACACGGAGAGTAATCAGCCAGATGTCAGAACAACAAAAAGTCTCAATGAATAAAGAGCCACCACAAAAATACTGCAACATGTCCATACATCAGGCTAAAGTCTGCTAAACAATGTCTCAAAGCTCTGGCTACTCACCTAAAGAGGTGCACCCTAGAAGCAGAAGCCAGGAATATAAACTATTCTCTACCACACCATCTAAGTGTACTCTCAATGGCAGGGGAACAACATAAGGGTAGATTCAATCAGAGCTGAGACTGAGCAATTCTGGAGAAGCATATGAGAGAAGGAGGCATCACACAATAATGATGCTCCATGGCTACACGATTTAAGATCAGAACACAGCAATCTCTTAGAACAAGAATCAGTGCTCATTACAGTGGCATATCCTAGAAAAATCTAAAAAAAGAGTTATCAGGTACTCTGGACAGGTTCAAAAGTAGCACACATCCAAGTGGCATACAGTAGTACACATCTAAGACAGAATCTCAGGAATTAAGAGCTTGACCGCACGTGGGCCTCATATGATACACACCTACTAGCAGCACAAATGAAGCAGCTTCTAATGGAAAGGTCCCACCCAGAGTGGTTAAACCAAGCTTGGACAGTCCTGATCATGAAAGAACCCCAGAAAGGGGCAATCCCATCCAACTATCAGCCAACCACCTTTGTCTGTATAACATGGAAGCTCCTATCAATACATTACAAATTTGTTTATAAAGCACTTTTTTAAAAAGCATCACCATTGACCAAAGTGCCATGCAGTACACTGATAATACTTAAACGCAAACATAAAAAAAATTAAATCAATTGAAATATTTAAAAAAAGATAAGAATATATAATCAGGCATCATAATGGCTAAGATGAATAGGCGTATGGGTCTATTACCTGAGCGAGGAAAAGAAGTGAATTAGCACCGACACCAGAGAAGCCATCAAATGTGGGATATGCCAATGTGATGCACTGTCCCCACACCAGTCATCAGATACCCAGCTGGTATAATATCCTGGCCAAAGGAGGAGATAGAAGTCACTGACATCAAGACTAGAAAGCTACTTACAATGAATGGAGGGTTTTACCTCAAGTCCAACGCCCTGAGACTATACATTAAGAGAAAGGAGGGAGGCAGAGGACTAGTGAGCGTCCAAGCCACTACACAAGATGAAACAAATGAGATCCTGGAGTACATGAGGAGGAAAGCCCCCAATGATGAATTGATGAGCAAATGTCTCAGGCAGCAGCAGAACCCCAGTGCGGAAGAGACGGAGCAAGAGGAGCCATCGTGGAAAGATAAGCACCTACACGGCATGTACCACCAGCAGACTGAGGAAGTAGCTCACATCAACAAGTCCTACCAGTGGTCTGGATCTGGAAGCCCCACAGTATCTATTAGCCCTTCCATTCTCCACCACCCTTGCTGGCATCTCCCACTTTGACTGTCAGACCTCCAGTCCATACTCGGCACAAATGTTCCTGTATATTTTTCTAGCCACTTGGTTACACATGGTGTTCCTTGTATGCTTTGTCTGCCTGGATCTTACACCCTGTTATTATGTGTTGGGCTGTCTCAAGGGCATCTTTGTACAGCCTCCATCTTGGGTCTTGGCTGGTATGGTAGACATCAGCCTCTATTGCTCTAGTGCTGAGGGTATGTTCTTGTGTTGCTGTCCTACAGCCCAACCCTCTCTAGCCAACAAAATGGTAATGGCTAACCAACCGGACATTGTGGTGGTCAACAAGCAAGAGAAGACGGCAGTGGTGATAAATGTAGCAATCCCAAGTTACTGTAACATCAAGAAGAAGGAGCACAAGAAGCTGGAAATATACTGTATCAAGGGCCGAAAGAGGAAAAACAGAAGTTGTGGAAAGTCAAAGTGTCAGTAGTCCCAGTGGTCATTGGAACACATGGTGCTGTGACCCCCAAACCAGAAGAGTGACTCCAACATATCCCAGGAACAAACTCAGAGATCTCTGTTCAGTAGAGTGCAGTCCTACGTGGGGAGGCTACTGAAAATCCTGGGGTAGCACAGCAAAACCAAAAAGCAGAACAGAATTTCAGAAGATTTTTCATGTTGTTATTTTACATAGGCTATTTAACAAATACAGCAATACAGGAACTAGCTCACCTTCTGATACATGGTCTGCTTTAGTGTTTTTTTCATCATTCATTTGGATGGATGGATGGATGGATGGATGGATGGATGGATGGATGAGAGTAAGAACAACAAATTATTTCTAAAATCATCTTTTGGTTATTGTTTTATTATGTTCAGTAAATTATTAGCATTTAAAATTTGTGCTTGCAGTCCCAGATCTTTACCATATTCGCTCTTAATTCTTCAGCTACATCAAGCTACTTTTCAAATACTGACTTTGCTGTTCACTGTTTTACTCTCTTTGAGCCATCAGTCACAATGCTTCACATTCTGCCTGACAACAAAATATCACTATCTTCTTTTCTATTCCCTCTGCCTGCTTCTCCTTTCCATTATTGATCCTCTACCTCCCATTTTCTTGCAGCACCTATCAATTTCCCCCTCGGAGCACATAATGATAAGCTTGTTACCTTTGGTGGTTGCCATGGTTGTTGATTGATGTGACAGAGCGAGCTTTGGCAGAGAGAGCCAACAAATGACAAAGAGGCACGGGGACAGAGGAAGAGTGATTAAGATGGCAGAAAAAAGGAGAAAAAGATATGAAAATTCAAGAGGAACAGAAAGTACAATCAAAATGAGATGTGAAAGAAGATTAACAAAAAGAAATGAGCACATTTCAGCATTGTAGTCATTTTTGTGTTGGCTAATGTTGATTAGCTGTGGTGGCCATCTTGAATCAGGTGGAAATCTACTGATTCTGTGTTTTTATTAAAATTCATCCAGTTTTTATGAGATATTTTAGTAACAAACCCAATCAAAAACATATTTGTGTGTCCTCTCCTTTCAGCGTCTTACAATAAAATAAACATGAGTGGTTAAAAATCTAAGTTTTGAAACCTTCAGTTATTATTTCTGTTTTTTGTCATTTGTGTTTGTCCATCTGTCCACAGGATCAAGCACTCAATCCCAATCTGCACAGCAGCACCCAGATAACAGCCAGGAGAGCTCCCCAACAGAAACTTTACCTTCCCTGACATCATCTGCAGACTCGGATCCTCACACACCAGAGGTCTCCCCAGAACCTCAGATTCGTGATCTACCTTCAAACAGTCCATGTGCAGAAGGGTGCAGCCCAAACAGTGGGTCAGCACCACACTCTGACCTTCAAGGAAGCTCCACAGGAGGCGAGGAGGAGGTGAAGGAGGCCAAGAACAGCAAAAAGCATTTTCACTGTCCAACATGCAAAGTGACAGTCAACTCTAGCGCCCAGCTGGACACTCACTGTAGCGGTATTCGGTTTCAATTTATTGTTTTGAGTTTAAGGCACTTAATTTGCCTTTTTCACTGCTCTAACATTTTACTCCTCTCTCTGGTTGGATGTCTCAGGGTCGAAGCACAAACAAATGCTGGATGGCCAGAACAGTATTCGGCCACATCGCAGGGTCAGGATGAGATCATCTCCTCGGCCCAAAGGTCGAATGAAACAACGAATCAGGCGCAAGAGCAGAGTGATTGTTGGTGCAACAAATCAGGCCTTTCAATGTGATCTGTGCCAAGTGTCTGTTAACTCAGAAACACAGATGAAACAGGTATATGGATCAGACACTGCTTTATTTAGCTAATTTTGCACTTTATGAAAATGTTTAAAATGACCATTTACCAAATAATATTTTATACTATCATTTACTTTTTTAAACTGATGCTTTCTTTTTCTCTTTCAGCACACAAACAGCAGGAGACACAAAGAGCGCTTAGCTGGGAAGCCTGTAAAGGCCAAGTTCACCCCCTTTAATAAGCTACACCCCAGTGCTATTTTAGCAGTAAGTGTGTTACACACACACACATATATTCTTGTATTTACTGCGCAGTGAGTACCAAGTAAAAAAGATGAGCAGAGTGAGGACCACTAATTCTGAACCACTTAAAAATAAATTATGATCAATTTTGGACTCTAGGTGTCACACACACACATTTTAAATTTATTAGCTCAACATTTGTCCTTGTTTGCTTGATCATGCAGCAAATTATAACGTAAATGTCTGATTCTCAAATCCGCGCTTTTTTCCATTTATCTGTAAGACAAAGTTTCTCGTCTGCTCTGTTTCAGCTACGAGGCTTAAACAATTGTTTAAAAAATGTGAAACTGAAATTAGATTAAAAAAATTCAAGTCTAAACATGAAAAATCTTAAAGATATGTTGAACATCACAATATAAACAAACCGTATTTCAGCCGTTATGATGCTGTGCTTCCTTTTTATTTTCACACAAGCTACATCTCTAGAAACTGTTGTTCTGTACAGAAATATTTAAAATATTAAATTGGAATTTTAGTACATTGATGATTGTGATATAGTGAGCTTAGTTCCAGTTGTTAAAAATAGCAAAACAGATGCTAAATTTTGTTTTAAAACGACTAAAATTAACTAAATCTTTACTTAAGCTAAAATGATCAAACATTTGCTAAAAACTGTCACACAATCATTGAATGTGTGTTAAACCCTTCTCCAGCTGTACTTAGACTGTACTTGTGCTGTCCTCGGACACAAAACACGCCCAGGTCTACAAACCAAATTGATAAATAATAAGTTGGGTTTTTTTTATGGTACAAACGTACTTATCTATATTTAAGTGTGTACATTAAATCATAAACGTGGAGGGAGGCTGCCAAGGTGTGTCCAAAGCAGCCTGATGAGGTGGATATGAAGTGCATGGCCTGAAGTATTATTTTACAAGCTGTAGACACAAAGGTACACCACAGTTTTTACAAATTGGCTGTATGGCTCAATGGTGACTTGTTCGCTCTGAATTAATTGAAACTGTAATCGAAAAATTGCGTGACTTTTTCCAGTACGGAGTAAATTTCAAGTCACCGGCAAGCCTCCAACAGTTGCAGCTTTGTGAGATAATACCTTTAATATACTCAACATCTTAGATGTAACAATTTGGTCATGATTGTGCCTAGGCCTGTCGCAATAAACAATAAATCAATCGCATGATAAATGAAAATTATCTACCTCATTTTCATTTATCGGCTTTATCATTTCTTCGCGTCTCTCTTTCTACTGAAGACACTGGATGACAAAAAGCTCAACTCCGGTGCTCATCACTGATCCCTCCCCTTCTCTTTAAAATCCAGTTTAACCATCCAAAAGCACATAGAGTGTCTGTCATGTTGAGAACCAAAGAGAGACAGCCCATGTCACGTCAAGGGGCCTCTCTTCCATTTTTCTTAGAGACACACTGCTTGCTCCCTCACTATCCATCCTGTGGTTCAAACAGTCTTACACTACCATCTGGTGGTCGAAAAAAGGTACTACACTCAAAACAAATTAACCAACATTTCTTCTTAAATTTGACAATAATTACTAATTATTGTCAAATTTCAAACAACATTATCCTCTATCGCAATAATTTGGAGACAATTAATCGCCCAGCAAAATTTGTTATCGTGACAGGCCTAATTGTGCCAAGACTATTTATGTTGCATGGTAAAAGTCATTTCATGCTGCCAAATAAAACTTGTTAAATTCCTTCTTTGGTCGTTATGGAAGACGAAGCAACGATTAACATTATGGTGAACTACCACGCTGAGTAGTAATCATGGTTAAATTAAGCATCCTAAGCATCAGTATGTTTGGGTATTTTGTCAGTAATGTGTATACCATAAATGGTGGCCTGGTTTTGTGATCTCAGTCTTGTCAGGAGTCAGTATTTCTCCCCTTTTTGGTTTCAGACTAAGCTGGCCCTGCAGAAGCAGCTCTCTAAAGCCCTGCCGGCAGGGCTCCTGACCAGCCCGCTGAATCCATCTGCATTCTTCGCCATGGCATCTGGACCCTTAGCTCTACGACTGCCTCCACGTCCTACAGCCATTTTCCAGGGTCCTTTCATCAACCCCGCGCTCTTCAGGCCTGCACCTGGACCTCTGAGGGCCACGCATGCTCCTATTATCTTCTCTCCTTATTAACAACTAGCACAAAACGTTAGGTCTTACAGATCTAACCCAGTCAGAGCTGGACCAGCAGAAATTACTGACTCTGCAAGACATGGACAGTCCAGTTCTGTTCTGAGGGACACCAAGACACAGCAGGCAGAGTGAGAGTGGCACATTGTACATCAGAAAACCTGTAAGCCCCCTTTTTGGGTGTGGATGGAGGATTCAGCACTGACTGAGCAGAGTGTCGACCTTAAAAGTGGAAGGATCATCTGTCATCAGCTGAGTGCTTGTCCCCCAGGGTCTGGACCTTTCTGGAAGCCATAAAGATCCACATTTTAGTTGATTTTAAACTAATACACTGAGGCATTCAAATATTTAAGAACTTTTTTCATTTTAGAGCTTTCCAGTTGGATTCTGGGATGCGAGACGAAACTCTCTCTGCTTTAGTTTTCATAAGCAAATCAAATCACATTTTGGTTTTATCTCATGAAACTGGTTTACATATGTAAACTGTCTTATTCTATATATAAAGGGACGATAAAGATCTGCTGTTTTGCACTTCAGAACATTTCTATCTCAACACATTTTCAACCATCATTTGATGTGCGTTATTTGTCTCCGTACACGTTTGTCTCGTGTTCTTTGTGTAATGGGTGACAATCAAAAAATCACACGAATGAATAAATACTTGCCATACAGAGATAGATAAATTATTGTGTAAAACGAGATGGTTTGAAATAAATAAATACATTAAAAACTCACATTTCTTGACGGGAACCATTATGATGTGCTTCTCTGCTTATATCTGGGTAGATTATTAAGAGTTTACACTTTAGGACACCCTGTTTAAAATATAATTTATATGAAGACTTTGAAATAAATGACAAAATTGGGATTAGACTTTATTTGAGTCAGATTTAAAGAATTATAACTTCTTGTCATCTTGTTGAGTAGACTCAAGTAAAAACAAAACATGAGGGTCCTTGCTGCTAAATGCTTGAATACTAAATAAATGGAAAAATTAGAAATGTTTAAGCTATTTTGTATTAAAAATACAGCTTTGTTCATTGTATTTTAATATCCCTGTAGCAGGGGGTTATAAAGTTTACATTTATTACAGAAAATGTTGATTATAAAATCCTAAACAGGGGGACTAAAGTGCAGTATTTCAGTTAAGTTATGATCTTGATGTGCAATATGAAGGCGCAAATACTGGATGTGCTGTTCAAGAACACTGAAGCAATCGTTTAAAAAAATGAAATTATTTATTTTGTGACAATTAAAAAAATGATCTGCTTTCTTTACAGATATTCCTCATGGAAAATCATAAGCAATATGTATTTTAGGTGTCACCTGGTAATGTACAATAATATGTGATGAAAATGGTAGTATTGTATTTCACATTAACTTATAAATAGTTCTGGTTTTTTATACAATTGTGCTTGTTTTTATTTTACATGAACATGTCTGTTTTACTATTTATCATTATTTTTTTTATTCTGGGCACATATTTTTATTTTACATCACACCATTATACAGATTTAAAAAGAACTTGATGTTTTACTATAAATTTGTGTATTAAACAAAGGAAAATATTCAGTTAAGAGAGTTGGATTTACTTTTACAGTAATGACTGAAAATTTTTAAAATATTGACTTAGAAATTGGCACAAACATGAGTACAAAGCAGTTGAAAAGAAAAGTGACGAGCTTAGTCAGTCAATAAATAAAATAAAATTTGAAAGCTTCTTTAGTTTGTCCTTCAGCAGAAACTTAATCATAATATAGGATTTTGTGCCCTCTTGTGGAATTTTGCTGCAAGTGCAACATAAGAAAAAATTTATGTATTAAGTCTACACTAAATTGTAGCAAATACTTTTTTTTTTACTATTTGTAATGCAAACATTTGAAATAATATTTAAATCTATTCATGCTGGTGCAACAGTCTCAACCCTTGGTAATATTTGGGGACCAATAAACCATGGGACCATGCAAGACCAGCATCTTTGCATGTTGTAGGAAATTTTAGCTTTTACCACAGGCTTAATGTTTAAAATTGAAATTTTCTTCTTTAAAATATGAAAGATGGATAGTTTTTTTTGGTAATAGCACATTACTGTGAAGCAGGATTAAGTAAAGCTGTAGGCTCTCAGATGAAGTCTGAGCACAAGAGAAGATATTTAGATGTTTAGTTATGAATCAGTGCTTGAAGCTATTTTGAATAAAACTGCACACAAAACAAATTGGCCAAAAATAAATTGAGTTTCGCAACATAGTGCCAGGCCACACTGATCTTTTTTTTTTTCTAATAAGATTAACTTCAAGTTCAAGCTATGTTTATTTGTCATGCAGGTTAATACAAGGTCAACAGTACAATCAAATGTTCGGGATGAGAGGAATCGATTTAACTCTCTAAACACAAAGAACAAACAAACAGGAAAAGTACTAAAACATGCAATAAGGGTACAAAATGAAGTACCAAAAAGTGAAAATGTAATTATAAGGTCCTAAAGAGAAATAGTAAACAACAACATAGGATAAAATGGTGCAAGTCAGAAGAATTTGCATGAATAAGTATTTCAAGGTAGCGGGGAGTGGTGGCACAGAGGTTGGAGAAGGTTGGCCTGTGATCGGAAGATCGCCGGTTCAAGCCCCGGTACCGACAACATCAAAAGTGTGGGTGGCGTAGGTGAAGCACCCACACCTGCCCCCACCCTCATTCTTCCCACTCTGGGCCCTTGAGCAAGGCCCTTAACCCCCGCCATCTGTTCCTCCAGGTGTCCTAGATAGCAGCTCTCTGCTCCACACAGAGGGCTGTGGTAGCTCGGTGGTCTGTGGTTGTGTCAGGAAGGGCATCCGGTGTAAAAAATAACTGCGACTTAGGTCGCTGTGGCAACCCCTAAAATAGGGAGCAGCCGAAAGAAGAAGAAGAAGATGGAAGTATTTCAAGGTAGTAATATAAGCTAAAATGCACATGTTGCACATAAACTACACAGGTTGTGTGACAGTTATTGCACAGGTAACATTAAGATTAAATTATGATGGTAAGGTACTGACATACATGATACAGCCACATAGTGCAGCAGCAATAAATATATTAACAGCTAATATTAATCATATTAGGTGTCACAGATGTGGCTTGGTGCAATGTTATTGTCAATAGTTCAGTATTATTATTAGAGTTCAGTAATCTGACAGCTTGTTAGCTGTCTTCTAGCCTTTTCGTGCACAATGGCAGGCTCCTTAAGAAGCCCTGATAACTTGTAGGTAAAGAAAAAAAAATTAATAAAACTGGAAAACTTTGGTATGTTTAAAAAGACTGTCTGAAGGTGTTATTTTTTTGAGTGACTGGATAAGTTCAAAAGGTAGGTGTATATAGAAAAGTAAGGTTAACCAAATTTTAAAAATTATAATATTTGGAGTTTAGTTTGAAAACCTAAATGTTGGAGACCTTTCAGTGATTATTTTTCTTACTTCCTTAGAAAGAATATTGGAGCTTTGCAACCTAAGCTTTCTGACATGAACAAAATGCAGGTTCAAAATAGCAAAAAATAAATAAATTTCAAAAGCAAAGCTTTTGAATTTGCACACAAAACCTTTAGACTCATACATATATACGTACGTACGTATGTACGTATGTATGTACGTATGTACATACGTACGTACATACATATATATGTGTATGTGTTGGTCATAAAATTAGAATATCATGAAAAAGTTCATTTATTTCAGGAATTCTATTCATAAAACGTGTATATTATTTTCATTCATTACACACAGACTGATATATTTCAATGTTTATTTCTTTAAATGTTGATGATTATAACTGACAACTAATGAAAGCCCCAAATTCAGTATCTCAGACAATTAGAATATTACTTAAGACCAAAAAAAAAAAGGATTTTTGGCCAACTGAGAAATATGAACATGAAAAGTATGAGTATGAAAAGTATGCATGTATATATATATATATATCCATCCATTTTCTTTACCCGCTTATTCCATTTTGGGTCACGGGGGTCGCCGGTGCCCATGTCCAGCAATCACGGTGTGAGGGGCGGGGTACACCCTGGACGGGTCGCAAGTCCATCACAGGGCCACATAGAGACAAACGTGACAAACAACCATTCACGTTCTCACTCACACCTAGGGACAATTTAGAGTTACCAATCAGCCTAACATGCATGTTTTTGGTCTGTGGGAGGAAACCGGAGTACCCGGAGAAAACCCACCCATGCACG